TGTGTGTGTGTGTGTGTGTGGTTCGATTAACTATTTTAATCCCACAATTGACGAATTCAATTTCGATTCGATCCTCTTTCTCGTCTATTTATATAAATAACGATATTTTTGCAGAGCGTCAAACTTGCCTCGAAAAGATGGCCCGGCGAAGCGAACAATCTCGTGCTTCCGATCCAACTGGAAAATGGGACTACGTACGTTTATCAGGCGGAAAACGTGGTTATCGTGGAACGTAGGCAAGATCAATTTCGGCTCGAGTGCAATTTAAAATTCGATTTGTGCACGCTAGAATTGTCCGGCTGGTATCACGGGAAAACCGCCGGTATCCTTGGAACGATGAATTACGAGCCGATGGACGATATGACAGGTTCGAACGGAATCGCGACGAGAAACGTGACCGCATTCGGCGAAAGTTGGTCGATCGATCGGCAAGATGATTGTGGGAAAACGGAGGCCGGTCCGGTCGCTGAATCGAAAGACGATCCGATGGTCTTGCAGTTTTGCGATACTTTGTTCGTGAACAAAAGTTCAGAGTTCGTAAGCTGCTTCGACGTGATCAAGCCGAAGGAATATTCAAAAATGTGTGTGACGAGCAAAGGTGTGTCGGAAGCTTGTACCGTGGCGTTGTCTTACATGCAGATTTGCATGTTCCACGACACGTATCTCAGAATACCGGATGTGTGCAGCAATTGCAGTATGATGGACGGTGATCAAGTAGCAGAAGGGCAATTCGTGAAATTGGAGGGCGACCGAGTGCCCACGTCGACCGACGTCGTGTTCATCGTCGAGGGAAAAGAATGTAATCGTAACGTGAAAGAGAATCGTAGTATCGATCAGTTGATCACCCAGTTGAACAAAGAATTCAGGGATCATGGTTTGACGGATAATCGATGGTCTTTGGTTACTTTCGGAGCGAACGGTGTTTTCGATCATCCGAGGAGTATAGCTTTCGACGGGCAAATATTCACCAAAAACGTGGCGCGATTTATCGATTTCTTCGACCACGTGCCCGTTGGCAATGGGAGCCGCGATATTTTTGCGGCAATCGCGTTCGCCTCGAAACTCGTGTTCCGTGCCGGTGTATCCAAGACGTTCATTTTAATGCCTTGCTCGCATTGCGAGCCGGAAAATCAAATGGTACGAATGAAACGATTCGTCAAGTCGCCTCTCCTCTTTTTCTCTTATCGTTGAACAATTTTTTTTCTTCCCTTCCAGCTGGACTATTCAGTGGTACACGAGGTATTATTGGAACACGATATCACGCTTCACATATTGATGGACGGTGATTTCGAATTCGAAAAAGAGAGACTGAACAAGATCTTTTACGGATTGGACGCGACGAAATCGTATACGAAGAAGGATACTAGAACGTTAACCGGCGATACCGATTTACGAAGGCAAGTGAAACTTCCGAAAAGCGCGCTCGGCTACTGTACACCTTTATCTTTGGAGATTAACGGAACCATATTCAGCGGTGATAAATTACGCTTCGATAAATTGGCCTCGATTAAAAAATTCGCCAGCGTCTTCTCGAAGAGAGTAGCCTTGACCGCGCAACCTAATCCTTGTCAAAACTGTGAATGCACTGCCGATAATAATGGTGTCACGCGAATGGAATGTATCCCCTGCATATATCCAACTCCGATTTCCGTCGATTATGTGAGTTTTTTCTTTTCGAACCATCTATTTTTCTAATCCACAATTTTTATATCCGATATACATTCGATTCGCATATTTTTCTTTTTTCTTTTTTTTAGGAAATGTTCAATCTCAACGATTCGTTGGCATCTCTACAACCATTGAACATCGATTACGGTCAAATTGATATCGATGACACTTGAAGAATCACGAAATGGATGAACGTATCATTCCTTCCTCGTTTCACAAACACTCGACGCGAAAAACTTTTATCAATGTAATGCCATACATATCTTTCGACGATGAGTATTCAATACGTATTGTCAACGATTAGCATCGTATATTTAGCAAATAATTGCATATATCTGTATAATGATATTCGATTGTAATCTTCTCCAGGAAATGTTTCGATATAGGTATATATAGATGCATAGATAAGAAAAAGACAGTCTCGTTTTTTTATTAATCAACGACGCTACACGCTTCGGTGTGTACAAGTTTGCAATTAAATAATTGATAATCGGACAATGAAAGAACATTATGCTTTTAGATTTAATCGATAAAAACATAACGATCGAATGATAATAATGATAATCCATGTTATTGGTTAAAGGTATGATTTATCTTATAGAACGGGCATTATTTTTTTTTCTCTCCTTTTATAACTTTCGATTGGTTCTTTCCAACATATATATATATATATATATATATATATATATATATATATATATAT